AGAGACACAGTCAGTCGTCTGTCATTCCTCGGGATGCATGTGGCATGACCGTTGTTGCTGTTTTGACTGCTGCTGCAGCTGCAGTGCCTTTTGTTATTAATTTCCATCGTCAGCTAATCTTAATTGCCGACAATCAAAAAGAAGTGTGAAAGTTTCGATCATGTGGAGCCCAAAAAAAAAAGTCTCCAGAGAAAAGGAAATGAAAATCAAATGAAAATGAATCTGAAACCTGTTCCAGGTTCAACAGACTTTCGGATGAAAATCTATCCTCAAGTGCAGCCGAAGAATTTTATGGCATATTTTCTCTATAAATACCCATGATCAAATATCGAATTAACAGAATAATCAACATTCTTATTAGAAAATAATAAAAACCAGTCAGCGTTTCTCAGGGCGTTGTTTTCCGAGGCCTTTGGCGGCAAAAAAAACAGTTGCAAAGAGCCAACAACCTGTGGCTTTAGCTTTAGCTGATTGCTATGCATCGGACGTGACCGAAAATATTGTCACGTAATCCGTGGACTCCCACAGAAGTGTGGCTGTGAATGGAATTGGGTGGTGTGGAATGGTGTGGAGTAGAGTCGCTTACTCATATGACAATGCTTCTAATATAGTCAGCAGCATCGAAAGCCAGACGAGGTCAACGTTTGATGGCTGAGCATATTCAAATGAGCTCCCATTGATGAACCAATCGAGTCCGCTGGCAGCTGCCTGCCGCACTGTAGCTGCGGCATCTGTTGCCACCTGCCAGAGAGATCCGGATGAAGCAGATCTCTTCGCTTTTGAACTTGAATTCTACGCCGAAAAGAAAAACAATCTTTGAAATGTTTACAAGTCGGAAATTCCTCTCGGACCCAACCACGTGGTAAACAATTAGCTCTGGTCCAGTCTGCGTCACAGATTCCCTAGAGAAGTCCCCCAATATGCGATCATATTCGATACCCTCTCCCTCCGGGTTTCCGAATTCCCTTTTCCAGCTGTGACAACATTCGTAGAGCTTTTCACACAATCTCTGGGGCGGGCGGCTTATCTTATCGCCCGACATTTGCTAATTATAGATAGAACCCAACAACAACAACAAAAACGAACAGCGACGAAAACACTGTCCCCAACGCCACACAGTCATGTGCACTTGAGCTCTTGGATTTCTGGGACTCATTTGCGTTTTCGTTAGATCGTTACTGTCGCTCTGGCTCTAGCCCTGGCTCTGGCCCGCTCTGCCCAACTCTGAGTGTTCGAATGCACTCCAATGCCGAGGCATTTCCCATTTACCCCCCCCACTCTGGTGTTGCTGTTGCCCAATGATAATGTTTTGATTGTGGCTCGATAACAGCTTGTTTTGCCTTATCGAAACACACATTTGTTGCTCATCCCCGTCACAAAAAGTATACAAAAAATACCAAAACTTCTGTATCTAATGGGGACAAGGTTGACACATCCACCAAAAATGGGACCATGAAGTGCACGCCAAAGCTCTAGGCGGCACTGGCAGCTCGCCGATGCAATGCCACAATGACGATGACGCCTCGTCACTCTCAAATTGCTGTGGGCGGAGGGGGGGCGGAGGCGAAACTGCGCTCCGCTCAGCGATACGGAGGAGAGTTTGAAAATCGAAACCTCAGACGGTAGGCGCCAAATCACACAATGAACCCAAGGGGAAAGCAAACAAGGGAACATTAGTGAACTTGAGACCGACCAGAACTTCAAAGAAACAGCATTCGTACGTTTCTGATAAGCAAATATTGTATAATATTGAAAAGTCTTAAAATTGATAAGACGGGTAACATTCGAGGGAATTTCATTTCATTTAGTTTACGAAAGACATTTTACCAGACATTGGGCGCCAAATATTTAATCAGAGATCCAAAAATAGCGAAATATTTTAGAGGCAATAAATCTGAACTCGAATCAATTGACCAGAAAACCGAACTCCCTTCACACATTGCTAATTTCGTATGCTTTTGGAATGAAAACTCTTCAATCTTGGAGGAGCTGGAACGTTGATAAGGAAACAATATTTACATAGAATTCCGGAAATGTTGCTCAAAAGAACATTCCGTTTGTGTAGGTTATCGAGTAGTGGAATTGGCGAACCTCAGAGTAGAGATAAGTTTTTTTTCTAGAGAGAGGCACCCGCAGATACACACGATATTAGATGGCACCCACTAACCATTTTGTGGAGAGCTTTTCGCTCAGACCCCAGTTTTGTTGGCCATAAAACCGATGCTTGGAAATGGCATGAAAAACAGTATAGAGTTTGCACTCGCACACATCTGTGAATTATGTGCTGGAAATTAGCACCTTCGAGCTGCGAGTGGGCTTGTCGAGTTAGAGCTGTATCTGTAGCTGGAGTTGGAGTTGGGGTTGGGGAAGTGTTACGCAAGAGCTGAAGTTTATAGCTCAGGCGGAAGATCCACCTTCGCAGTGTCTATCGTCTCTGGCTCTGGCTGTGGCTCTGCCCAAGTCAAAGATGATTGATACTCTCATTAGGTGGTGACGCTGCATGACTTGTGTGAATTTGTTTCTGTGTTTCTTTTTTACTTGACAAGGGGCAATTCGAACTAATAATATTTCTGGCTAAAATGATTCACACTGCCAAATAAATGGACTTGCAGTGCGCCCACCCTGTGGGGCTAATATAGCAAGTGGGGGGGCTGACATGAGTAAACAATCGAATTTTGACCACAAACACAAACAGGGAAAAGTGAAATTTCAGAAAGAATAACTCGCAGATAGCTATCCGTATCTGGATGATTCAACAAGCATCAGACGCGACGCTTGCGGTTTCCAATTGTTTTACGTAAACGATTCCGAATTGCACGGCACGGCACAGAAAGCTCGCCAGGTTCGAGTTCGAGTGGCGGCTCGTCGCTGTATAGGGTAGGTAGAGAGGTACATTGGTACACGTATAGGTAGATACATAGGTAGGTAGACAGAGGCCCCGAGGGTGTTGGGGTTGGGGTTGCTACTCGAACTACTCATATAGAGCTGGGATTTCACATGAATGCGTGTGCCTGTTTGTCTGTCTGTCCGGTCTCGTCGTACATAAGTTTGCAATCGCTGAGATCGGTTTAAGTGCCCGTACCCGTACCCGAACCCGTACCCAGGGGTTAAAAAAGTAACCGTTTTATTACAGGTCTTCTCATCTCGCGGCCTTTTATTTCTCTTTCGCTTTTTGGCAATTATATAACTCGAAAATGTTGAGAAATAGGGTCAAGTTTGCCACAAAATAAACCGCAAATGTAAAACAAAGAGAGGTAATAAAAAAAGTTAAAATTAAACGATTCGACGAGCAACTTGTTTCAGTTCGAAAAGCCCCGAACTCTGGCCTTTTTACATCGAGGGGAATGCCCCACGATTAAATCCCCCGAGTAATTCCAACACTGGAAGCAACCTCGATTGCGTCCCGTCCCTTGGGGATTATTATCAGCATTTCACCGTGCACCAGCGATAAACACGGGCTCAAGCACTCACACCGACACGGACACTCACACTCGCACTCACATTCGCGGACAATGCCGGGACCTTATCAGGGTCTGAGTTTGAGCTGGCCTTCGGTCCAAGAACCACACGCATGCAAAACTTTCGAGCACTTCTTGGATATTTTATTTATATGTATGGATATAGGAGGTATTGAAAGCACTTTTGTTTGATCAGATATGCGATTGTATATCTGCGGTACGGAACTCGTATGTTTTTGTCTAAATTCCTTTTTCACCGTTTGCCTGTCTTTTGTTCGTTGCTTTGCACTTTTTGGGCACTGGGGAGAGAAGGATCTTTTGGTTTGCACTGCCGTACGACTGAAGAAGATCTTCTCTTGAGAGATCGCTCAGAACCGACTGCGACTGCTTCTGCGTCTGCAATCAGAATGTGTCGCAGCCGCCATTAAAAAAGATACACAACAGACTGGGAGAAAGAGGAACATACAAAATGATCAAAAATGAAACGGAAGAAATACAACGAAAGCTGCAGAGAGCACCAAACACTCTCTGTGTGCCGGGCCAGAGAGAGATGACAATGAAAGCAAAAACAACCGAAATACAACTAAAAATCAGCAGCATCGCATCCACGGCATCAAACAGAGCGCAGCGCAAACAATTTAGACCCGTAAATTGTGGAACGAAAGTATCTTAATAGCTTGCGGTTTTTGGTTTTGATTTTGATTTGAATTTGAATTTGGATTGTGTTTTGCCGAAACGCTTTTATTCTTTTCGCACTTGCACAATTTGGTGTATGTGTGAGCGGGGAAACGGAAACTATATAAATTTTAATTACCTACAAACGCTGATCGTGTCGGCAGACCGAGGAAGGGGAGGGTGACTACGGACCTCCGCCTTTTTTTTGCGTGTGTGCTTTGCGTACGACACTGATTTGGTTGCCCGAATGAAACGACTCAGGTCGGGTCGGGTACCTGGCGGCGTACGAGGCGAGGCGATCAATGGGCGGGCGACAGACCGGAGCAAGGCACAGAGGCACAGAAGCACGACCGTTCGATGGGAGAGCTTTAAACCGAATAAAACGGGGTATTAAAAACCTTTGCACAACAGCAACTTCGCCGGCTGGAGAGCAGCACTGGAGCCCCAAAGCACATGGAAAGCTAATCGAGGGAGAGAAAGAGCGAACACGCGTTGCGGAGAGCTCGAGCGGTGGAGAGCAGCAAACTCGTCTGGAACACGTGGATGGGGATAGTCGACGGCACACGCGCACTCACCTATGCATAGGGAGGATGGGATGGAACGCGCACACACATGCACACAGTTTTGTTTGAGTTATGAAATATATCAAATAAATAGACGGTCGCAAAAAGCTTATTCGTTCGCCAAAATCAGAAAGGAGAGTGAGCGAGAACTAGCTCGGGAGAGAGAATAAGCAAAAGCTTATCAATGAGTTGAACTTAGGCGTTGCGTTATCAAAAGAGCGATTTGCTTGGCGATTTGTGTACGTACATAGCTGGTGCGAAATGAAGTAAAATAAATTTTAGATTTAGCTTAGCGTAGCCGAACGGCTAGTGGCTCTCTTGTGTATTTACAAGGCGTGCAATTTCCATTTCCTGCTGTAAGAATATCAGAAGCTTTATCGTATCTTATCAATTTCCATACATACGCATACGTACTTAAATATATGTATATTCTTTGCTGTTTATCTGAGAGCAGTTGATAAGCTTTCGGTGCAGTTTTGCTCTCTTTTGTACATACATTGTTTAGTGGCTCTTTGACTCTCTCCTTCAAACACACCGCCAACTTCTGCTCCAACTCCGTAGTGCGTACGTGGGGGAGTTTTGTTTACGATTTATTGGGTTTCTGGGTCAAAGTTAATGTTCATTTCTGAATGACTATGAATCGAGTGAACTTCACTGTAGTTGATGAACACAACACTCCGTGTCTAGGTATTTCTATATAAAAGCATGAAAAAGCAGAGTGGCAAAACTTTTGTTAATACCAATGTTAAATATTTGAGTTGGATTTTATCTTATCGCTATCGGCTCTCACATTCGCCGTGTTTGTTCTCGGTGCTTCTCCGTGGTGATATCACCTGCAGTCTACATATGTACATACATATGTATGTACTGCTGCCCATGTCCAGCTGTTCCGCCCATAGCGCCCTTTGCTTGCGTAACCGTTCTGCGCCGATCGCTAATTAAACGCATTTCCAAGTTGCAGAACAAGTTATCTCACCAGCCAAATATTCGCACTCGCCATTTCCCACCCGAAACTGTTCTTTAATCGTTAAAAATTAAATGCCAGCCGCCAGGTCGAGTGTTTGCCTTTGACCAGACGCACAGACAGCCTGGCGAAGATCGAATATCTGATACCCTAAGCAGAGCAAAAGCTCTCTTAATCTATCACATCCGTTTATATAAATCATTTCTTAATCTATTTTTAAAGAATAGTAAATATATTGCTTGTCGATTGTAGGGATTTCTTTGAATCCACACCATAATTTCAAGGCAGGCGTCTCCCTCTTCAGGCCATACCCATACACCCTATTTTCGTGCAAGATATCCAACATATCAGCAATAAAGTATCCGCCTGTATGTATATTATATAGACACATAAAAAGTAAGGTATATTTGGCTTTTGTTTATCTCACTCGACAAGACTTTTCACCTGCCTGGGTGCCGCATTTTCAACTGTTTTGTATACGTCAATAGTCAATTGTATCGGAAGTGTCCAACGCTCTGGGGCTGATAAAAGTTCGAAAAGAACCAAAAACTGAATGGATTTCTATTTTGGCAAAAGCTAAATTTTAATTGCAAATTTGCCCAGTATAGCCATAGCCTTGCAAGAGCACAACTGACGTCAGAGTGCGAATTGATAAAACTCGGATGATTATATATTTATTTAAAGTGCGACTGGGTGGGTTGAATAGACTTAAAAGCTGAGCCAATAAAGAAGTTTGGGCTGTGAGGCGCCTTATATGTATGTATGTATGTATGTACATATGTAACGTCTATTTGTTTGTACATATGATATAACACTGCTGTTGATCTCGAGTGATTGTTTGATTAACGGTTTATTTACTCAATAATCGCATTACGTCTTCTGTTGTATTCCTATGAAACCTTTATCAAAACATTCGTAACACGAGGGAAGGGAACGAAAAGTGTGTCCTATTCGTCAGATTCCATTCTATATAAACGTCACGAACAATCTGCTCTGTTCTCGATTAGATAGTCATGATATTTATTAATCACATTAACCCTCTCAACTGACAAATATATCACTTCTCACCTCTCCACCGAATAATCAGCAATCGCTTCCAAATGTTATGCAATTTCCAGATGTTTGTTTGCTTTTTGAGGGAAATCTACTGAAGGTGCAAGCGAGGTGATGGGATTCCCGTTGGGAGTTCTCCTGAAACAGAATGAAACTTCTCAGTCGCTAATTTATATCGTATACCATCGGGATCCATCGATCCAGTGACTTCGCTTTGTATTGCCTTGGCGCGGCGTTGACTTAATTGATTAGAGCACATGACTAATTTAGCTTGGAAGCTTTAGTACTGACAGCTTTGACAATGCGATTAAAGTTAATTTTTGGTCAATATTGATATATAGTAGTGTTCGATATGATATCTCTACTTGTGTTACCTATTTGTGTGTGTTCATTAACAATTATTTTTAATCAAAATGCAAAAATTATATAATATTTTATTTTTGTAGAAAATTTTTCACTGAGAGGGAAATCTAATCTGATTTTAACCGTACTGGAAAGTAGAACGTATGTCATTATAAGTGTATTTAAAAACTAATTGCAACGAAAAGAATCTTCATAATTGGATCCCTGATGTCCGTTTTCATCTAATGCTAGAATAATGCTCCTCATTTGCCAGTTTGGCTTGACCCAGATTGAAAAGTTTTATGTACTGCGTCCCGGGTTTCGTTTTCATTGACTCACTGACTGAGTGACAGGCTGACTGGCGGACTGACTGCTGGAGTGTCCCACAATGGATTGACGATCCGCTCAGTCCCCATCCTCTGTGCAATGGAGGACGGGGAAGGTACAAGTATGTATGTATGTATACCCAGTTAGGCAAATGAGCTGCAATGAACCGGAAATTCACAATTAACCATCGGGCCCCGCGCGCCTTAGCCGAGTTTCATAACCAACTGCATATATGTATGTATGTATGCATTTGGAGTCGACTCCATCCACGGGGGTGCAGCAGTCAGATCCCAATAGGAATCCGAATCGAAATCGTATATGGAAATCGCACGTTCCGGCTCATTGGGCGCTGGACATTTATTTTAAGCCTAGGTGTAATTTTCGGTTGCCTTCTTTGGGCCCAGCCGAAAGAAAAAACAAACGACACACAAAAAAGTAAAGTGCTGGGATATTTTAATTGTTTCTACGTGTTGTTCTATAAAGGCATGTTCAGGCTTAGCTCAAAGTTATTATATTATGATCTGGCGGTAACGTGATCAACATTTTGACTCAAACGGGCCGGGGTTGGGCTTTGGCTATGGCTTGGACGAGTGGTCGCCGCGATTACAGTTATGCTGATTGGGAGAGTTCATTGGAGCTTCGAAAGAGGAGCCAGCCCTCTCCTTAACGTAATTATGATATCATGTAAACGTGGTTAGGGAAAACTGGCCGTACATATGTATAAGCAGATAACTGTAGTTTCACTTTTTCGGCTGAGCCCATTCCTAGAATGGAATGGGAACGGGACTGGCACTGAGACTGGATGAGGAGTGTACGATTACGACGTGACTGATAGTTATTGGCCATTGGAGAGATATTGTTCCATATAAAATAGATTGGAATTCTTCACAGAATGAAATTAGGGATTGGGAAACGGGAAAACTGTGATCAAAAGATCATTAATGAATATTATTACAGGCGGATCTGCAAGGATGCCCCTTAACCTAGTTACAGTCTCTGTAAGATTACTTAGCTTTTGTTAGTAGAAGTCTAAGCAATTTAGGCCGCTTTGACAGGCTGACAAATACGCTTAACCCTGATTAATTAGACAAACAGTTACTCTCTCTAAGTTTAATCATGCAGCTTCCTCGATAAGTGATAACGATTTTTTAGGCTAAAGAGCTAAAGGAGAACGCACTCCGTGGCACTGGCAAATGGCATTCGCAGGTGGTCGCTAATCAACGTAATCAACTTGCAACAAGCCTCGTTAGGCGAGGCAGACGCAAGGCAGCTTCATGGTAATCAGGCCATCAAGTTCTTGGAGAGGGGAGGCGGCTCCAGAGAAGGCCGCTCTAACCAAATTGGTCGCGGTGCTCCCTCCTCCCTGTATCGCTATCTTGGCAAGACAGGTTTGTTGTAGCTGCCAGCTCTTTGTCTAGGCAGACTACGCCAACCGAAGGGGGCACATGAACCTGACTTTACCGTTGTGGCAGGTCCGCGTTTTGCTGGGTCAAGGTCAGCTGGGAGGCTGATTAGAGTCTCGTCTCCCCGGTGGGGCCTAGCATAGTCAACCAGAATCCAGCTGAAGGATCATTACAGCTGATGGGATCTCCGATCTCCGCACTCACGGCAATCCCCTTGCCATTCCAGGCACGCACACCACCCATCAACTGGTCGCCATTCAACGCCATCGCCGTCCACAGATCCACAGATCCCAAGCTCCAGTGCCAGATGCAGCGACCAGCAGCGCCCCAGTGGCGTCGCTCGCTGCATTTGGTGCTGGCCTCGCAAACTGCGTTCCTCCTTGACTTTTGTTTCGTTTTCGATTTTCTGCGATATGTTATTCATGCCCATTGCAGCGGCTTAGTCAACAGGGGATTTGAATCGTATCTCCCCTCGGGATTGAAGCTGTGTTAAAGTTCAAGTTTTCATACAGATCATACAGAAGTCTGCTAATTATGTTTCAGAGCCGCCCGTATGCACGAGAGACCCTTCCCTTCCCCCCTTTGATATAAGCTCTGCACGCCGCCAGGCAACGAACGACCACGTCGAACACAAAGCTGAGATTTTTCACAAGAAAATATTCATGTGAAGGCGAAAACTGCGCAGGCGCATGTTTTGTCAACTGGCAATCGACAGACCGGCAGACTGGCAGACCAGTAGACTGGCGGACGGAAATACATGCCGAGAGGAGGCTAAGGCTGGGACCGCACTGCTCCGCTGACGTTTGCGTGACAGCAGCATCAACCAATAACAACAATAACAAAAAAAAAAACTGCTGCAACGGCAGGCAGCATCCAGACCATGCTTTGACCAGTTACCAATTTTGGCAGCAAGACTTTCATTTATTTTCGATTCGTTTTTAGGCTGCTGAGGATCGCTCGTACAAAAGGTACTTTTGACATTCAATGGAAACGATCTTTTATGAAATTTCCAAAATTAGCTCACATTTGCTTGCAATGTATTTCAAAGATACCTTGCAAGGAGGAAAGGATAAAGCTTCTTCTGGTAACTCTCGCTTAGTAAAATTATTATATTAAAATATATATTCACTTTCCAGACATGCATACACATGGGTTAACCCCTGGACTTGGGGTCTAGATGGAAGAAGATTCCGCAAACTCCACTGGACTATTTGCCGCTGCGAAGGACTAACATCAGGTCCAGGTCTAGAACATTACTCTTGATCAGCCTCTGGTATATTCAGATTGTCTATCTGGTCGACAATGGAGACTCTCACAACGCTTATGCAGACGATTGTGATTTATTAATAATGATACTGCAGTTCAATGCAAACCCTTCATACTGCTGTTCGTCTCACGCCCATTGCATTTTATAGTGGGGGTGCACACAAAGCGCTTAGGCCGCCCGCATATTGGGGCCTGCAGGTTTCAAGGAGCAGCACGAGGGTTTGCCTTTAAATGAAGTTAGTGGTGGAACGTAGTCCTTGGGCTATTGTTGGATACGTATGAATAATCGATTTGCTCATAACTATTTAAGCTGAGCCTTATTTTTGAGTTCGTCGAACGACTTTCTGGTGCTCATATCAGCCAAACACATTTTCATTTTTGGCAGGCAAACAGGGCATCGAACCAGTCCAACTGTTGGTTGGTTTGCAGATACTTTACTATAAATTATACAACATAAATTAGTTTACCTCGACCGCACTGAAATAGTGGCATCCTGACGAGTTTACTTCCAATTCCAAAAGAATAAAAATATATGTATAAAGAGAAAATGTAAGCCCCTGCACTGGTAGATCCAATGTGTGTTGCCTACAGTATGAGGTTTGCGGCCTAAGTGTTTCTACTAAATAGGCGGCTAATGTCAATAAAGTGTATTTAAATAATCTAGTTGGGCACTTACACACACACATACCTGTACATGTGTACTATGAATGTGGTAACTCCCAGCTATGAAACTATTAAAGATGGTTGCTATACAACAATACAAGCTTGAATCTGACCTGCATGCATAGACTAGGTTTCGCTAATTTTTAGGAACAAAATATATTATTCGTTATTAATTCATTTTCGATAAGATGAGCTAAATTTTAAAAGTAGATTTTTGAAACATAAAATTATCCCTGCTACATGGCAACTACACACTGGAACGACATTACACTTGACGTTGCAATTCTACATGCGACTTACATGAGTTCTACACCAAAAACATGTATGCTGGCGCTCCCAGGTGGCGCCACTGGGTAAGGGACTTTTCGGAAACTACCACCAGCAGCGATCAGCTGTCGCGTGATTTATCGACTCACTGTATTTAATTTAATAATAATTCAATAATCTTAAATATAATTTTTAAAAGTATATTTAAGAAAAAAGGGTATAGAAACTTCCAATCGCAGTTTTTTTGAATTTTCGCTCTAAAATCGTTTAACTGTTTAAATACATGGGGGGTTAAGTGGGTTAAGCATATTTTATCGAATCAATTGCGGAACAAAATCTTTTTATACCCTATAATTAGTGGGAGATGTTGGCTTGGTGACAGAGATGAGATTATAATTTAATTATTTCAATATTTTGTTTTGCAATATTTTTGTTTTAAATTGAACTTCATTACACATTTTCCGCTTTATGATTCGGTTCCGTCCCCAATGAGCGATAGGGACTTAAAAAAGATGTTCAATGCAGAACACACTTGCATATATATTTGTGTGTGTGATGCGTCGCCATTTGAGCCAGTGAGAGCGCCAGAGAGAGGAAAGACTCGAAAACAACCAATGCCATGGTAAGTTATGCCTTAGAGGTGGGGCCAACTAAGAAAAGGCCTTTCTTAACAAAAAATATAAAACAATTTATATTCAATGCAAGATAACAATAACATTCCCTATCATATCACCTAACAAATGACACATGATCGTTGAAACGATTCGACATAATCATTCATTGGTGCCACAATAAGAGGCCGATCGCTGAGTTTTCCCTACCTATTCATACAGACATACCATTCAACACTGTACCTTACCATACCATAATATACCATTGTATTCCGACTTAACGGTGAGCCGAGATCAGTTGATTTTCAAACTTCAACAGGTGTTGATCGCATACTAACAGGAATATACACACGCGGTAGATAGAGCGCACGAGTCAACGAAATCGGTAAAGCTGAAACAAGTTAACACCAATTAAGCAGAATTAACGGCCAGGGCACGTGAACAGCCTTTGAATTCGTGGAAAACAAAATCGGACTTAATCAAAAATATCAAATATAAACTCTGCCGGAAAGAGAACTCTCTAGGTGCGGTGGCTAGCGTATCTCCACTAAAGTTTGTGTGTTTCTTTCAGCGAAAATACTAATTCTTGGATTACTCCACTTCAATTTTTGAGCCGTAGCCATCAGCGAGCAGAATTTTCTAAAAGGTGAGTTTTCTTCCGATGCAGGCTTCGTTGGGATCCAGAGTCGGAGCGGAGTCGGAGCTGGCGGGCATTGAAAAAAGTGCACTGCCAGCGAGGAGGGATGGGATTTCGTCAGGCCAGGGTCCAAGTGTGAGTGGGACAACAGCAAATCGGCTGTCTCTGCCCCAAGTGGTTGTCTCACTCGCTGAGCGTATCTTTCGGTCTGTATGTGACTATGTGTGAGCGTGCCTGTGTCTGTGTGTGTAACGCTACCTGTGGCTTCATTGCTTACCTGCCATATCTCTGAAAACATAACCAAGCACTCACTCACACACACACACAGCAGCAGGCCGAACCCAGCGATGCAGCTGCTCGTGTTTGCGTGTTGGTTGTGTATCTGTATATGTGTGGTGACATATAAACTTCCAAACCAAGTCGCAATTATCTTAACCAAATTCTGCTGATCAACGGCTAAGAAAAGCTTCAATTTGTAGTTAGTTTTACTTATCAGCACGGCTAGAAGTAAACAAAACACGAAGATTGACACACACGCACACTTGCACATATAGGACAGCTTAGTGCATTTGCCCTGCAGGGAATCGGGGAATTTAAAACAGAGAGAAGATAAGTTTAAGGCAGAATAATGAAACAGTTAAGAGCAACAACAAATGCTACAAACGCAAGCAAGAGAAGTACATAGATAAGATTACACCTGTGTGTGAGTGAGCTAGTGTGAGTGTAGTGTGCGTTTAGTGTCGTCTGTTGGTGTATGTAACAACTCGACTCTCGCTGGCAGTGGTAACGGGGTGGACAGAGTGGGGAAAGGGGTGAACAAACCGGTAATGCATTTACTCAAAAAGAAGTCACCTTCATCACAAATTCAACGCGTTGCTGCAAAAAACAACAAAACTATCAGAAAGACGGGGTACAGAGAGCAATAGATCTCTATAGCAAGACCATGATCATAGTTTGCATACATTGGGCATGGGATGATGGGCAAATAACGCGTGGAAATATTGGAAAACACTTAAGGCCATTACGAATTAGAGCTTGTATTTTTACAGCAATCTGTATTCGAGTATTAACCGATAAACACAAATATTATACAAACTATTGTATGCAAATAAACACCTCGAAAAGCTTCCTGAAATGGCCCCCAATTAATCAGCCAAACATATTTCGGTTAGAGTGCGGTACAAGGGGGTTTTAATTCCGATAACAGAAACAACGAAATATTCTCAAAAAAACAAAAAAAATAAATAAATAAATAAATTATTTCTATGCATAATTCAGAACCAGTTCCAATCGATTTTCAATTTTAATGCTATTTTTATACCCCACTGTTGCTGTCACTGTGTCTCTGTGAAAACGAAGCTGGAATTTAAATGAATTTTACTGAAATGATTGCTCTGCGATCTGTTCATTTGATTTTGAGGTGCGACTCGGTTTTCCAGACGTAATCAGCCAGAGGTGTGTGCTCTTTGAATTCCTTGAAAACGCTTATGTATGCAAATTTTCATTCGGTTTCATTTCGGGATAGGGCTGGGGGCTGAGCGGGGTGGGACTGGGGCTGGGCATTCTTACCACTGCAGGAGGGACTTCTCCGTCAACTGTCGCCAGTTGTCGGCTGTGGTGCATTATCTAATCGCTACAAAAGCCGGCCCACAAGCGTATTTATAAAGATAAAAGGCCAAAAGCAAACAAATTCGTTTGCCGACTCAGACTTTGACTCTATTCGGTCTCTCTCTTTCGCTCCCTCTGTGAGAAGGCGAGTGCGAGTGTGAGTTTGTGGTTGTATGAGTGAAGTTAATGAGGTCACATTACTATCTGCTCTGGCTGGTTTCATGGCTGGTAATTGGCCAGAGAATACCTATAGTATACTTATATCAACATAGCCGTAGATATGTATACAGCAAACCCTGCTGTCGCTGTCTCCATCTCCCCGCAGGGGAAATTATGAATACTAAACTATCAAATCTTTTTTTGTTAAGTGCCCAGGCAAACATCTAACAACAACTGCAGCTTGGACCACTTAATGCCGCACCGAGTGCTGTGTGTGTGGGTAAACTCGGTTTTGTCTTACAGAACTTAAGTGTCGGCACATGCGGCGGATGCGTAATAAGTCTCTTGGGGAGCTTGGTTTCTGCTTTTGGCACATGACTGTCGTTCGAAAACAGCGAAAAAAGCAAACTATTTTGAGTGATTTTAACGATCCAGCTTCGTGTTTTAACTGCTTGACACACACAATGATGTCATTCTCATCCCAACCAGGATAGGAGGGCGCCAAATGCAGTTCTCTCCTAACCAAGCTTAGCCTTTTCTTTCCCTGCTCAATTGAGCATGAAATTTTGCAGTCGCTAGTGCTAGTGCCAGTGCCAGTGTGGCCTTAATCAGCTGTACATATGTAGTTGTGCTCGTGTTTCGCACCCACAGTACAAATTCGTTGACATTTACCTTAACCCTGACTCTAATCAATCAAGCCTGACAGCCAGCCAGAGAGACAACGGAAGATTAATCAATTTTTGCACAATTCTAATCAGATGCCATAAAAGATTAGTCACCACCTGGCCTGGCCCGCAAATTGTCTGTCTGCATATGAAAGCAGCTGATCAACTCAGTTCCAGCTGGTGCCAGCTCCCAACCATAGCTGATTTATGTACATATCTATATGATATATGAGGAAGTACATATGTATGTAAACCCCCACTTGGCGACAGTTCTTGAGGGCAACTTTCACCTCATTCGCAATCAAACACACTCTGGCCATCGAGGGCCGATATTTGAATACTCTGTATCAAGAGGGCTTGGGGATAACCGGGCCTAAGGCTCTCGGGAAGCCAAATGGAGCTCAGCTTCTTTGGGGGGCCTTGTAATTTGGTTCGCTCAACCTATAACTCAGGCTTCCAAACTTAAGCCGATTTCACAGCGTATGAGCTTATGGTTCAGGGTCCGGTCCGAGTTGCGG